CGACTACGTGGGAGTCCAGCAACATAGCCATTACGCTAACTGCTGGTCCCCCATAGTTGACCTTTCAACAGCATGGCGGTTAGAGGAGCCATCCCCCTTCCTTGCACAGATGAAAATCTGTGTATAACTCTAGGCACCCCCCAAACTTAGTACTAGTTGCCTACTGTTGATATTGATTGCCTTACTGATAAACATGTGATTAACACATATTTTGTATGTTATACATATTATATGATGTATTTTAGAAATAAAGTTCAGCTAGAGAAAATAATATTACAAAGATCATAAGGAAAATACATTTATGTTACTGTACTGTGTTTTCCCATGTGCACATTATCAGGAAAAATCTCCCTAGATGTGTATCTCTGCAGTTCAAACCTGTGTTCTTTCTGTACTTGCACAATTTCATTCAATTTTCACAGCTTTATCATAAGAGAAGTGCAATAATATTATCCTCATTTTACAGAAAAATAGAGATGAAAAAGAATTAAAATGACATTCATGGTTGTACCCTGCCTGGTGCTCAAACCAGGTTTTCGGGTCTCTTTGATTTCAGGATTTTTATTACACTGCTATACTATGTAAGTTATTTAATATCCCTTAGCCTAATTTTCCTCCTCTATACCAGGGAAAGGAAAAACACCATTTTTTGTATGTTCACAGGAGAATTTAATGCATGACGTATGTGAAGAAACTAGTGTAGTATCCAATACAGAGCAATTATAGTGAGGGAGAGGTCATCATTACTATTCTTATTTTTTAAAAGAACAGCTCTAAATATAGACTAGTAGTTTAGAACTGACTTTGGAGAGGAATGAAGTGAAAAATACTGCAGCAGTCTGAATCTATTGCCACGTCACCAGGTGGCCTCTACTGTATGGGAAAGGTAGACTCTCTCTTCTGTGGACTCCAACTCTCACGTCACTGTGTGGCCCATCATGTTTGAAGACTTCATTCAGATTTTTTTCTTTCTGGGTTTTAACCACTGTTTATTCTATTTGTACTGGTAGATAGAAAATGGGAGTTAATCTGAGCCATAAACTGTCTTGCAGGAGAGGGGTTCCAGATTACATTGGAATTATCTGTGTCTTTGATTCCCAGTAAAGTACAGATTTTCAGGGGCATCCATAACATTTTGTTCGTCCATTTATCCCGAGTCTTTAAAATACTTGGCTCACGGTAGACACTTAGTAAATGACCTTTACAGGAAGGAAGAAATAATTAAATGAATGAAAGGCACAGCAGTCTAACACAGGCATCACATTTTTGGGTTACCTTTCAACTCTGAAGTTTTTTTCCTAATTGAAGAATGACTATTAAGACATCACTGGTACCATATTCTCTAGGATCTTTAAAAAACATTTATACCTACTAAAATTAGATGTTGAATATACTAGGTGAAAATGACTTACTCAACTGATTGAAGGTTGATGTTTCACATAATGGATATCATGAAATAGCAACCGTGGAAGATTATCTTTTTGTTCATCATAAAAGTAATTCCATACCCGCTTCCTTTCTTCCGGTACTGGAGTGGGACTACAGATTAATCTATGGCATTCAGCGAAGGGAACCCTCCATGTAAGAGAGATTGGGAGGCTTTTTCATGGGGTACAACACGAACACTTTGGAAGACAGAGTGCAGCCAGAACTCAGAGGCCTGGCTCTGCTGAGAGAGGAGATAATCACACACACTGTTGACGTTTTAGTCATTCCTGACGGTGGACCATCTGGTATGAACTCACACGGTAACAGGGTTTAGAGAATTCCGGGTTCTTAGGGCACCTCCCTGCTTAGGACTCTCTTTCACTTCTCCTAGAATCAGGAGGACTCTGCTCTGACACACCCTTAGACTGTCCACTGTGAAAATATGAAAAGATGACAAGTTACACTATATTCAGACAGAGGGGAAAAAAAAAAAAAAACCTGTTACATAAAGGGAAAACAGTAACACAATATTTCAAGAAGCTAGAGTGTTGTGGGTACCTACAATGTTCAAATTCCACTCCTAACGGGGGCGGGGAGGGGGTAGCAGGAGGAGAGCAGAAGTGAGGAGGTGTCTGTTCAAGGCCCTGCCAATGTTGCAGGCGCTAGTGTTCTGCCTTGCTACAACTATACTCTCCACCAGGCAACTGGGCCCTGGACGATCACAGCAGACGTGACTTCCCCGGGCCCTGTCCATTCCACAGTTTCATCATAGAAGATGCAGGCAAATGAGATGCAGAAAAACACTCTTGGTTTTCTGTGGTTGTTTGAGCTTCCCTTAGCCCTTCTCGGGCACCATTTTGTTCAGTAATGGTCTAGAATCAGCCCAGATGTTTGCAGAGTAAATGTGAGGCTTGACTATGACTCTGGGAAGAAATGGAGGGGAGTGGGATGGATAAGAAAGAAAACCTTATCAGTGGCTGAACATGACAAAGTCTCATGTAGAGTTATCCTTTTGTCAAGCCCTTCCATTCAACTCCTGGGCACTCAAAACAGGGATTAGCCTTCAGATCCCCTCCCATAGAAACTCTTCACACCACAGCTGTCTCTAACATCTTCTCTCCTAACATTCATTTTAAACTTACTTCTCCTGAATAAAGAGCATTGTGTATGTGTATTCATGTGAATAAATATGAAGTTTGAAAAAAAGATGCAAAGCTGTTATAAATTTTGCCCTTTCTATGTCTCTAGGTCTCCTTTCCAAGGAAAGGCTTTCTTAGAACACTTAAGGACTCCTCTCTCAATCTGTTTTTGTTTAGTGCTAAAGAAATGAAAAGGAAGGGGAAATTAAATATTCTCAACTAACCCCTCTTCTCTGTGGGACTGAGATGGTTACTGCAACAGACCTGATTACAGTCTAGCATACCTTACTCCACTCTGCCCTATCAGGACATGTCAGCATGATAAGCCTTGCCATTATCTTGGCAAACTGGTGAAGAAACAAAAATTAAATGGTATTGTGTTGTGGTAGAGAAATTTGGACCATTCCTGGAGTAGATCTGCTGATTGACTCCGTCTGTAGATGTAGACCTGTGCCAAGAAATCTTGGTCTGCTTGTTCTGGAGTCCGCTACTTTCGTTCCTACCATCTCTGTCTCTCCTCCTCTGCCCATTGTCAATTAAGACAGCCTTGAGAAAACCTAATCTCTGAGCTGATCAGATTTAAATGTTCTAAGCGTTGACTAAACACTGTGTAGAACATGGCAGAACTGAGACCTAACGCTGGTCATGGACAGTTCCATGCCATCTCCTAGGTGAATGGACTATTTCACCGTAGTAGTTTACACACTGGTGCAGTTGGAATGAGCTAGGAAACTTATCACACAACAGAGTCCTAGGTTGTATCACCGAAGATTTTACTATGTTTGATAGGCAGCCAAGCTTCTTACATTTGGGAGTTCCAGTTTTAGACCTCAATTCAGAAGTCATTTTGAACAGAGCCCTTGGGCCCTCATTTGAAACAGGTACTTTCACCTGTTTAGCCTACTCCAGAGATATCTGCCTAATTTTCAAGGCCAGGAATTATCCTGCTTTGTCATGTCCAAGTGAAAGGGAGCTAGGACACTCCATAGCAGTCTATTGAGTTATTTCCACAAAATGATCTCAGACACATTAATATCTGAAGAAAGGTGTACAAAGTGGTTGTGGGCCTAAGGCCACCAGAAGGACCTGTGTGCCCACATGTGTGCCCATACAGGTACACCACTGTTTTGTCTCTGGGAGTCATGGATGACGACCAATCTCTTGGCTAGGGCTGTTCTGGATGATTGTGTAGGCAGTACTCTCTGCAGTTTGGGGCACCATTTTCATACTGTAATCTCTATAGTGCCGCGGCAGTTGTGCAATGCGGTAGTTCTTGGAAAAAGTGATTATTTTGAAACCAGGAAGGAGCCCACCACTGAGGAAGAAACACAGAATTTGGGGGTAAAGTTGCAACAGGATTAAAGGATTATCTTGCTCTGCAGCTGGGTCTCAAGCTCTGGTCTCAGCACATGCACACACGTATGTACACAATGTACTTTCTGGATCTTCCTTTTGTTCAAATCCAGGTTGGTTTACAAGAGTTTCCCTTCCACACCTCTGTAGCACAGAGGAATTAAACAATGCAACAACAGATTAGAAATGGAAATTTAGCTCATGATAAGTGGTTCTTCAACTTAAGTTTCCTCCAGCATTTTGGAACTGTTTGGTAGGTAGCAATCTTGATTGTCTTCATCTCCAGAAATCTTTTCTTGAAACCCAGTCCCATGCAATAAAGCACGTTTATTTCATGCAACACAGCTCAGTTGACACTTGCTTATAGTTTCAAATGCCCCAGTTTACTGGACACAACTCAGTTGGGAGTGCCTAGTAGGAAAGAACATGCATAGCACAGCGACACGGAGTGTTCATCACCAAACACAGGGAAGTTAAGGAGCTGCAAAGCTATGGTAGCTAGAGGAGGATTAGCTTTCCTGACTTCTGCTCAAGAAAAGTCTCTTGTCTCTAGAGTCCACTGGTTTGGCATGGCATTTGCACTTGGCAGTGAGATGATGTTACATTCAAAGTAATTCAGATTAATTTCCAGGCTTGTCTGGGATCAGGGGCTGGAGTCTTCCCTCAATTACAGTCCTTCCTTCAGAACCAGTCCTAAACTCTTGTATTTGTCTTATTAAGTGATTAGGTAGTCCTGGAATGTGAATTTCCTCCAATCTCTTCCACTTTGCAAACTCCAGAACCATTGTAACTACTAAGTTAACACTCAGGAGAGAACTGACTATGAGCTAAGGCTTTCAGACATGCAAAGCGCACAACCCTCGGGAACAGCAGCATCTGGGACAGGGGGCTCCCATTACTTCACATGAGGATGGCATGGGTTTTGCAAATCAAACACACACAGAAAACCAGTGGTGGCCCAGGCTGGACACACTGTATGGGATACACAGTTGAGCAAGGACCCAGACCAGGGAGCCACCTGTTCCTCTAGCTTGCATACATGTATTTCACACCACCTCAGGCCACTCACAGTTTGCTTACCTGCTCATTGTTGCTCTCCCACCATTCCCCATACTCCCTTTGGGGGTGAAACACTCTATTTCCGACTTGTGCTGGGCCAGTCTCCTGTCTTTGTACCTGGTGAGCATGAACAAGGACAGGAGCAAACAGAAAGACGTGATTGTGTGCTTAACTGCCAGGCCAAGGAAGAGCCATGACTGCAGAGAGGGTTACCCCAGGCCAACACAGGGGTCCCTGTTTCTCAAGGCAATGGCCAACTTGTGATACCTACTAGCTAATTAGGATGGTATCTGGATAACATCGGGGATGATTTTGTTACTTCTTAAACCTCATGTAACCACATGTAATTCACACTTTTACATTGCCTGTTAATTTGTGAATTCATCACAGTTAACAGTCAGTTGTAGAAGGAATAGGGCTCCTAATATCTAACATAAAGACAAATATCTTATAATTTAGTGTTTACCAGGTGTCAGACACCGGACTAGAACTTTACAAAATTTAATCCTTGCAACAGCCCTGTGGCAGAGGCTCCTTTATTATTATCTCCATTTGGTTGATTAAAAATAACTGGTAGGTGGTGTGGATTCCCAAATGGCTGGTTGTGGTTCGAGTCCTGGAACTGCTGGCTTGAAAATCACACTGGGCACATTTGCGCGTATATCCAAAATCCCAAGAGAAGAATGGAGGAGAAGGGATGGTGGTGTAGCTGTCCAATCTGTGGAGTTATTTCTCACTTTCTCTCTTTCTCTGTATCTCTCTGTTTTGCTCTGGTGAATACACATGCCCTGTGGCAAAAACCTAAAAAATCAAAACCAAAAACAAGAAACCCCTAAGATTATAAGGATTAAGGAAATTGATCAAAGGCAAATAAGTGGTTGGGCTGGATTTTGAAGACAGAGAGTCTTAAGTTTAGAACCTACACTTTAGCCAGTGTAAAGTGTTACCTTTCATTACCAAGTTTTAAAACTAATTCTTTTCATGAATGAACCTTGATTGAGTGGTACTGTCTGAATGCAGTGTTTACATTGACAATACCAAAAAGAGAGAAGACATGCTCCTTGGATGTGAGCGGTTTCTTTCTCCATTAGGATGGGTTTGACAGTCAGAATTGAGTTGTCTGTTTTGGAATCGACTCAAACAGCTTTTGTATCAGCATGTCCGTTCATGCCTGGAATGCAGTGGACATTTCATCTAAAATAAGAGTCCTCCAACGTGGCCTGCCACGTGGTGCATCACGATGAGTCCTCGTCTTCAACAACAGCTCTCAGAGCCAAAGGGCTGAAACAGAACTCATTTTCCTTCATCAGTTTAAACCTGGGCGGGGGGGGGGGGGGGGAGCACTGCATTGCTATTTTCATCTGCCAAATGGGGAAACCGAGACTGACTTCGCTAAAATCACAGTCCTAATCAGTACCTGCCCAAGACTCTTGAAGTTTGATTACCTTTTCCCTTGTAAATCTGGAGCTTGATAGAATAGCACCTCATCTTTGTTCCTGGTACCCAACAGGCAACAATAATGTGAGTTACTATCATAAGACATTTTTGTTGTCGTTTTCTTGTTCTTGCTCATATAAAATAGAATAAAATGGAACAAAATCAAGATTATTATTGGTCCCAGAGCAGAGGTCTTCTGCTTATTTTTTTTTCTCCTCTAAAATGTTGAAAGTATTTATGATAGTTGTGCAAATAGCCATCATAACATTTAGCCAAATGGATTAATTTATTCAGTGGACATTAGTTGAGTGTCTATTAAATGGAAGGCAATGGGCTTTATCCTGAGGACATAGAGATAAAGAAACTGCAAGTCTCGCCTCACAAAATAGTGGGAAAAGGAAGGGAAGAAGTATGTAAACAGTAACTTTAGTTATAGGCCATAAGCGAAATAAAGAAGGAACTTGGAGACTTTGTTACAAGAAATAAAACATCAGAACAAGACAGACTGAGTGGCCTTCACAATATTCTCTGTGTCCTCAGGGGATTGGGTCTAGAATCGCTGTGGACACCAGAATCCAAGGATGCTCAAATTCCTCATATAAAATGACATTGTATTTGCATATAATCTATGCTTATCCTTCTGCATACTTTAATCTCTAGATTACTTATAATACCTAGTATAATTCAAATGATATGAAAACAGTTGCTATGCCACGTTGTTCAGATAACAATGACAAGGATAAAAGTCTGTATATGTTCAGTGTAGACGCAATCATTGTAGGCCTAACTACACAGTACATGTCAGCCGTACTGTAACTTTTTTTAAAAGGTTTTTTACCATAGGGCATGTGTACTCACCAGAGAGACAGAGAAAGGCAAAGTGAGCAGTCACCTCAGAGAGGAGATGGCCATGCTGCAATCTCTTCTCCTCCATGCTTCTCCTCTGATTTTGGGCATGCATACACACGTGCCTGATGTGATTTTCAAGCCACAGGTCCAGGGCTTGAACTGTGGTCAGCCATGTGAGATCAGCACTTAAACTACATGTGATTTGCTGGGTCCCTGTTATAACATTTTTGATCTGAGACAGTTTGAATCTGCAGATGCAAAACCTGCAACTGTGTAGGGATGATTATATTTTACCAAAGAAAATACCTTAGAGGAGAATCCTTTGTGAAATTCCAATCACCGAATGACTCTACAATTTAGTACAAAATATGTTGTGCTTATTTGTGAGTCAGACTGCACAAACTGCTTCCCTACAGCTTAAAGTAAAAGAATATTAATAGAAGGATGAATTATGAATAGTCATTTCATTCCTTATGAGGACATCCTTAAAATATGTTTGAATATATGTTAGGCTAATTGCCAGTTAATGATTTAAATCTTTCATAGATGAGTTAAAACACCCACACTCGTCAAGTTCATCTTCTTCTTTCTCTCTTCTCTCATGCCCCATATACACGCTCTTCCAGATATTTTTTATGAAATACGAAGTAGATTCTAACTGTTCTTTTCTAACAAAACTCAGCCGCTTTTGGTAAGAGATTTAACCAAATAAAAACAAAAACAATAAGAAAAACAAACCCCCATTCCAGTAAAGCATGACTTGTCTTAGACTTTCGAAAACTCTTAAGTAGTTTTTTTTTTTTTTTTCTTTTTTTGGAGAGGTTTTTGCTATAGGGTGCGTGCGCTCGCCAGACAGAGACAGAGGGATAGAAAGCGAGAAATCACCCCCCAGAGGGGATGGCCACGCTGCAATCCCTTCTCCTCCATTCTCCTCTTGGGATCTTGGGCACGCACGCATACGTGCCCGGTGTGAGTTTAAGCCACTGGGTCTGGGACTCGAACCACGGTCAACTACGTGGGAGTCCAGCGACATAGCCATTATGCTAACTGCTGGTCCCAAAACTCTTAAGTAGTTTTTATATTCAAAGCAAAGTGAAAATGGCATTAATACGGATTAGGAAGCTCATATTTGCTTTCTTGCCTTTTTGTAACTATAATTACCCCTTAACTATGTTTACTCTTAAATACTCTATATTTTCATTCACTCATTCATTCATTCATTCATATATTCATTATTCTATTCACAATGTGCTTTTTAAAGTAACTAATAATGCCTTAATAGTCTCCACTGCAGATGTACAATTCTATGAAGTAGTTATTTAAAAAATATGGAACTGCCAGTTAAAAATAGTTTTGGCTTTTCAGAATTATGACTTATAAAATATCAATTTAAAAATCTCATTGACTAATTTTATCATTACATAAGGTAAAAATGTTTTGAGAAACTGAACTGTACCCCATAATATACAAATATTACATACACAATTCAAGTAATAATAAAATTTCTTTCTTTCATAGAATAAATTCATGTATCTTTTAGATCCTTACTAAAACATAAACACACACATACATACACATATATTTCTGAGGCACAGCTTGAGGTGTTTTACAAGTTTTAACTCATTTTTCAAATACATGCTTAGAAGACTGTAACTATTTTCAATAATTATAATATAATAGAAATAATAACAACAGGATAGTGAGTGCCAAGCTGTTTTCTGAACATTAACATCAGTTCTTAAAATGACCTTGCAAAACCGGTGCTCTAATCCTCATTCTGAAGCTCTAACTCACTTAGCTGAAGTATTGAACCCAAGGTTAAAAACCATGACTCTCTGGGGGCCAGCAGGTGGTATGGCAGTTAAGGTGTTAGGCATGGCTGATCGTGATTCGAGTCCTTGGACCTCGTGGCTTGAAAATCACAGGGGCACGTGTCTGTGTGTATGTGTGCCCAAGATCCGAAGAGGAGAATGGAGAAGAAGAGATTGTGGCATGGCCAATCCCCCCACCCCGGTGGTGTTTCCTCTTTTCTCACTTTTCCTCTCACTGTCTCTGTCTCATTCTTTCTCTGTTGAGTGAATCTGCCCTATGGCAAAAATCACTTAAAAAAAGAAAATCAGAACTCTGATTTTAAAGTTCAAGCTATTGCCATTAAACTTTCCTCTAAGTAACAATGTTAATACATTTAGAAGCAAAACTACAAAGCCTTTATCTTTTTGACCCCATTTTGCAAATGAGTAACAGAGTTCACAAGGATGGTCAGCAGAGGATCTAGTGATAGGACTTTAAACTTCCTTCCTTCGCTTGGGTCCCTATAGATGTGCTACAACATGGGTTTAGTTTACAGCCTTCAAAACCACGTGCTGAATACTCCATGTGATAGATGCTGTGATAAGGAGGATGTGGGTTATTGGAAGCCCTTGATAAGTTCCTAGTCAACTGTGGGGTGGCTAGCATGTGGACAGATAATTTCTAAACTATGTGACAAATTTTATTATAGAAATAGATATGAGATTACCCATACTGGAATGGTAGAGGGAACTTTAATGAGGTTTGATACTAAAGATAAATCTTAGAAGATGAGTAGAAACACACTGTGAAAGAGGGGCCCAGCAGCTGTGGTGCAGTGGTGGAATAGTTGGAGGGCTGGGGAAAGAGGATCTCAGTAGGATGAGGCCCTGTTGAGGGTTCTTTCCTCTTCTCCCACTTCTTTTGCAGGTATGTACATACACACTATCATAAATCGATCGATCGATCGATAGACAGACAAAAAATATAAGTAGACGAGCAGGAAAAAAACCCTGAAAAATCTAGAACAAACACCTGGAGAG